AGTCCTGCCCTCAAAACGCCTGCCACCAGCTTCTGTGCAAAGGCAAGGCCATCAAATGCACTGGCAAATCATCCGGATTCCGGACGGCTTACTTTTTAGCTCGAGCCCGCTTCGCAGGGGGAGCCGGGGCCTCCCGGCGGGTGTCCTTGTTGGCATTGGTAGCCTTGTCTTTCTCGGTTGGCTTGCTGCCCTTGTCGGTTTTCTCTGGCCTCAAACTGTCTCTAGAGGAGTGGGCTAGGGTTGAGTGTAGTCCAACCCAGCTTATGAGCCAATTGCTACTGGTTGCTGGCTTATTACCCTATTGATGGGTGTCTGGTGACTACGGTTGGTCTTGACTACTGAAGTTTCCATCGAGAAGCTTGCCAGTGGATCCAAACCTCTGCAACCGCTGATCGAGGGCATCCGGCAAGTCTTTCATGCTGATGCCGAGCTGCTTCGTAAGATACGCGGAGAGCTGGCGCACCTCTTGCAAACGATCTTTTTCCGGGACTTCCGGCCCATGATCATATAGCAACCCAACTCCCAGCAGGCATCCCACAACCCGGGAGACATCTGCTCGTTTCTCCTGGGGTCCAGCAACGCAACAAACTTGAAAATTGAAAATAAAGAAACCCGCCAAAACGACACCAGACTGGACCAGACTAGACTGAAAAAACCCAAACTATAAACTGCTTCTGAATTCTGATTACTCTGAAGAAATTCTAAAGTCGCTCATAAACCCGGCTAGCCAAGCCCTAAATATTATTCGAAAATTAAGCTACATCATATGGCCAGGGCCAAAAGCCGCACATGCCCCATCAGAACACCCAGTGGACAAGAAGACACGCACACCCAGACACACGCAAACACTGGCTCCTTGATTGCCTCCTGCACCTTGATCAGCTGGGACCTCAGGCCGTCTTCCTCGTGGTCCAGCTTGGCTGATGAAATCAACGCTGTAGCAGCTCGGAGGAACTGAACAAAATCATCCGTATCTCCTCTGAAACTCACCATCGCATCGACATCGTCATCTGCGGCCGATTCCTCGGCCCACATCCATCGAACTGGCTCCAGATTCCACACGGTCGCTGCTTCCACGATGGGCCTTTTTTTGGGTGGGTTGGGTTTGGGCTGGGGCTGAGAGTCTCAGAAGGGTTAGACCGCAGGCCACAGACAGGGTCTGTATTGTACTACGGTGTGACGACGACGGCTACGGGCTTCTATTCAGGGCTTCAGGCTTGAAGGCTTTGAATTCTATAGACCGCCGATCGACATAATCTGGGGATACATACGACTCACAGGACTCAGACGATTCATATTATGATTGACAGACCGACAGACAGCACTTGTACAGAAACTGTCACTACGGACGAAATGGCACGAAGCACGCACGTTGTCACATCACATGGCAGCATGTTGTCCTGTACTGCTCCATGGTCTCGGATACTACCTGGATGAGCTCGTCTGCATGCACGATCTTGTCGCGGATGGCGGTGCACACCATCTCTTCGAAGGACTTGCACTTCTCCACCAGACCCGGCCAAAACTTCTCCAAGGTCGGGTAGTCCAGGCTCCAAAGCTCCACCAAAGCCGTAGTCGCCTTGTTGTAGCCGGGCACCCAGTGGTCTGCGGAAGCGGTGAGCTCGGTCTTGGTGGCCTCGAGGTCCAGCTCCTCAGCAATCTTGGCATGCTTGAAGGTGTCCTTGTACTTCTGGATCAGCGGCGGCAAAGGGAAGCTGCCGTCGCCCAAGAACGTCAATGCCTCCGCCCTGCCCTTGTCAGCCAAGAGAACCTTCAAGTGACCATCGACGGCCTTGATGAGACTGGCTTCCAAACGCTTGGCCGCTTCCTCCCTCACGCTTGAGCCCTCGTCGCTGCATTTGGAATGCAGCGCAACCCAGAGGCTGGAGCATGCCTCGAGATCCCACCCCATGCTCGACAGGGCATTCTTCTTCTTGTAATCCCACAGAGCTCCCGCGACTTGCGCGAGCAAGGCATTGAGGGCCGGATGCTGCTGCAACACCATGGATCTCACATGTCCTGCAATAGACACGGCACAAACAAATCGAAAACACAACTCGCGTCAACTTCATGCTGCTGGCTGTCTGTGCTGTCAATGCTGCCTGAAATCACCATGTGACATAGCAGCTGCTCGCTGTCAGGCATGTTGTCGGGCATGGTTGGGAACGCAAAGCTGTCTGCCTCGGAAACCCATAGCTGCTTCAGCATGTCCCAGAAGCTGCTTGGCTGGAGGTAATTCTCCTTCAGGCAGTCCTCCACCTTCTGCATGGAAGCCTCCAATGACTGCGCAACGTCCTTTGCACTGGCATCTGCTGAGGATTTGCAAGCTGCAAGCATATCTGCACACCTGCTGCATGCATTGGCCTTCGCCTTCCACGGCTCATCTTGCATCTCCTTCAGAGCCGCACAAGAGGTCAACTGGGCGATGAGGCCCTCCATATTCTGCACCGTACCGGATGCCTGCTGCAACGCTGACTTCTCGTCAATCACCTTTTTCGATAGCTCTGTCAAGGTGAGCCAAAGAGTCCTGCGCAGAACAAAGCATCAGCATCTATTCAGGCTAGGGCCTAGGCTGAGTCGTTAGATTGTTTCAAGAAAGGTACATCAAAGGCCTAATATTAGGCCCTACAGCGGGGCCTACACCCTCCCCACTTCCCGCCCTCATCCTGATCTGACTTGGCTGTCTGAAAAGAAGATTGACCCGAGTTGATGTTGCCAGCGTGACCGTGGTCTTGAAGTCGTTCAGCTGGGCCACATCCATTGGACTGTCTCCGTCCGCCTTGTCGGCTGACGGCTCTGGAAGCTTCCCAAGGGCAAGAAACCGCTGCAGGTCCACCAAGACTCTCGGAGACAGACCGGACTCGTTTGTCTTGCCTTCCGTGGCATCTTCGATCTGCAAGGACTCCACAGGAAGCTTGTCCCCAAGCTCCCTTTGCGATGATGTGTTGCTTAAGGATTCGGGTTTTGGGCCAAGCCAACTCGGTTTAGTTTTGGAACAACAAACCAACTGGACTCGCAAGCAACCAAGACAAACACACACACACATACACACACGCAAATATACTCACTGACTGACTGGCACAGGCACAGGTACAGAATTTCACGCACGACGCCTACTTTAGCACATATTGATACTGATACACTGATAGACTACAAACTGTACAGCGCTGTACAGATAGCTCAAAACAAAGACGAACACAGACACTGATACTGTACTATATAGTTGACTACGACTCAGACCCTGACTATGACTATAATTCTATAATACTATAATTTAATAATCTATAATCTATAACTATAACTGCTTGGTTGTCATCTGACATCTGTTTCTTATTGGCCTATCCGACTCCGTCGCCTCGAGAAGGCTGGGCGCCAAAATGCACCGGGAATCTCACGAAGAAGCTTCTTGACATCCTTGCAGCTCTTCAGGTAATTGATCCAAACATTGAACAAGTTCCCTTGCACACGAAGCAGAAGCTTCTCATCCATGCATGATCGGCCAGCGTTCAGGCACAGCCCTGACTGGTCCATGTCTGCCAAGGCGATGAAGCCAAAGAAACTCTTTGTGGCATTGACGTCAACAGTCTGCCCCTGGAGTGACAGAGAGAGGGAGAGATAGACAATATTACGATAATAATAATAATTATTATAATAGTAATATTTATTATTAATTATTATAATAGTAATATTTAAATATTATATATTTATATAGTCTAGTAATAATATTTAGTAATATTAATATGAGATATGAGGAGTCATGAGAGTGAAAGTGAGTGGGACAGGCTCAAACCGACTCAAGAATCTCGAATTAAAATGAGAATCAAAATCCTGTAGCAACGGTCACAAGACTCCGGCCTCGACCAGCTTGCGGCCGATATCAATGCAGACTGCCGACACACAGTCGGCAGGGAGCTGGAACAGCTTACCCACCTGCGCAGAGGTCATTTCCAAGATCTCTAGCGGCTTTGCCTTGCACTCCCGCATGTGGTCGAGGATGTCTGACCAGTCGTTGCAACCCTGGATTGTCTCTTTCAGCTGCGACAGAACGGCACAGGCTTTGTTGTCGGTTGGAAACTTTTCCAGCGACTCACAAGCAGAAATTGCTTTCGTAAGCTTCGCCTCCAAATCCTTGGGCTTGAAGGCTCCATTCCAATACTGGATCGGCATGAGTGCCTTCAGCGCGGCGTCGCACGCGGACGCAGCCTCCACAACCTTCTCGACCTTCTCCGCACTGATCTGTGCGGACTTCGAAGGAGCAGGAGCTGGTGAAGGCTTTCTGGGGGTAGCAGTCGATGGGCCATTCCCGGGTTTCCCGGAACCGATCTTGGGCCTGGCCTTCTTATTGCCCTTGGCAGCCTGAGCATCTGGGCGCTGCTTCTTCAAGCCGAATCCGACGCTATCTTCATCGGAGTCAGCAACATCATCGTCGTTCGCACATGGGCCGACCGCGAGGTCCTCATCCTCCTCCGTGCTGGCGGCAGCCAGCTTCGATTGCATTGCCTCCTGTGTATAGATGCAAACCGGAAAACCCCACCTCATCTTTCGCCCCACTTCAACTCACCGCCCTTGGCCCCACCCATGTCATGGAATCAAGCTTTATCCTCGCATTCTACGATAGATAGCCCAACCGAGGCCCAAGCCCAAGGCCAAGCCCAACACCAAGCCCACCCCACCCAACCCAACCCGCTGTTTATTCAGATTAGATTCATTCAAAAATATATGTTATAGGCCTTATATAGCTGATTACATGATACATTAAATTCATAAAGCAAAATCATAAATGATTTCGAATGATGGGCGATAATGAGATGCTGCTGAGACTGCGCTGGAACTACCAGTCAGTATGATTCTGATAGCCCCTCAGTTCCTCAATCAGTCAATCCGACTCAATCCCTTCATTCATTTATTTCAGCCACTGGTCAATCTTATCATGTCAAATCATGCCCTTAACATCGGTCCCTAAAATTTCAACAGGCCAAAGCCCCAGACCACGCCACCCTTCAGTCCTCCGTGTTGACTTCGGCTTGCAACTTGGAGGAGTCCCGCTGAAATGCATTCTCAAGGTCACCGCCATTCTCAACCTCACCTCTGCGGATTTTGTCAGCAGCCATCTTGGTTCCAATGAGGACTTTGCGGCGTTTGGAATCGGGGAGGATGATCACACCCTCCACACCCCTGTCGTCCTGTGGCACGCAGCATGCAGCATTAGACGAAAAATGCATTATCATATACTATCTCCAGGCACAACCACACCACATGCATATCATATCGCCTATCGCACATCATATCACGCACACATGTGCCTGTGTGTGTATGGCCTGGTCTAGACATACACAGAAGCACGTGCATACATGGACCCGGGAGCCACGGCCGGGGTACTAAATTTAGTACTGGGAGCCACGGCTTTGGGGCACTGAAGTCTTGAATGTTTGCAACATCCCGCTCTGTCCTGCTGGACCTTCATCTCCAGCGTCTTAGTTCATGCACAGCGACACAGCGACATCACAACTCGGAGTCGGAGAGTTGTTGAGTCTTAAAGTCTTAAGTTATAGACCGAGCACATGACTCGGACCATCTGGGACCATTGTATAGACGAGACCGGATTGCTGACGCTGGGGTTCAACCGTCAGAAACACTCACACGCCAACACCAAGAGGATTGTCAGGATTGCGGGGGACAAGCTGCGGACTAGACTGGACTGCCTTGGCTGGACGAGACGCAGTAGTCAATATATCACAATGTGACAATGAGTCAATGAGACAACGATGACAACTGACAGTGATAGTCAATGATAGTACTGGTGATTGATGATAATGACTCGACCATGGCAATTACAATGACTCATGACAGCGACTCATTCACACAAACACAGACACCGAGTCTGAGTCTCTGAAGCACTCTCACTCTCAGTCTTAATCTGAACCTGAATTCTGAATGCGAACACAGCGACGCTGACAATCCAGTTCTTCTTGGCAGCGAGAGTGCGGCACTTTCGTTTGACGTCGGCGGGTGCCTTCTCTTCGAAGAAATCACTGAGCTCAATCCAAGTGCCTTCCTGGCAAGATGAGTGGCTTGGGTAAACCTTCGCAAACTTCCTATTTCCTACCAACCATCGTATCACCTTATCACCTTCTGCCTCATCCAAGAACTTACCCCAGCTTCCGACCTGCTGGAAGTCGATGTACGAGCTTGTGCGTTGTTGTGCATACAGACGCACGTTGATCGCTTCGTGCCGAGGCTTCGTACCAGGCGAAAGGCATGTCTGCCGCACATGATTGCGACGTAGGTTGAGGAACCTCGCTGATACACTGAACTGATACAAGTAGTAGTGTGTTATTGCCACAACGTGCACAGCAAACCAAAAGCTTCAACCTTGGGAGCCACCGGACACCATCACTAAATTGGTCCCAGCCACTTATCGTTCAACGAAGGAATCATTCGAAGTACTGCCACAAACTCGCGGATGCTGAGTTTTTTGAACGAGCCTCGCTTGACATAGAAGCACTTGAGGCACAACAATTTGTTGTCGCCTTTGGAGCTCATGACGATGAGCACGTGCCCAGACGGGGCATCCTCGCAGGAATGATTCTTCTGTCTGTCTGTCACAAAATCACATAACATAGCTTAACTTTGGTTCATTGATAGACTGGGCTCAGTGACTAATTAATAGACAACGGCAATAATCTATGACTAGACTGGACTGTCCAGACTAGTCATAATTCACGGACCGAGTAATTAGACTGAATAGAATAGACCATCTAGTGAAGTATTTATAGACTAGAGGAGACCTAGACAGCCTAGACTGGACAATTCCTCTAGACTCTAGACTCTAGACCGAAACTGAATCTAAAGTAAACTACTGACTGCAGACGACTGCTACAACTTACAACTTACAGTAACTTACAACTGTTTCTTTACGCTGTACTGTTCATGAGGCCAGTCCCGGTCTTGGGCTCCGAATTCTTGATGGCAGGAAGCACAACATCCTGGTACCAAATCCGAAAGGTCCACCTCGCTGGTGTCCAAGCCCAAGGCCTGCAAGGATTCGCCGTCCTGCTCCCCGCCCGGGGTAGCCGCAGCCTTTGCTTTTGGTGGCATGGAGAGCTCCACCAAGCTTCAAAGCTGCACAAGCAGCAACTCGAGACAACAAAATCACTTCAGGTGATCCTCCGGAGTCAAGTGGTCACTGGCGAGGCACAAGAAAACAAGCAATTTCATGCTGCATGCTGCATGCTGATGCATGCTGCTGCACAGGCGCAAAAGGCTTGCTGGCTTAGTGGGNNCCCACTAAGCCAGCAAGCCTTTTGCGGGATCCGAGCTCACAAGCTGAAAACCCTCATGAAGCACCTTCTGCTTGCTCATTTCTCAGGCACAACACTGCACACCGCGACTGTTCAAGGCTGGACGTGCAATGATCCCTAAACATGGGCCGGGACACCGTGTGGGTGACGTGTTGGAGATGGGGGCTGCACTCTCTTTAAATTTAGCAGACTCAGGAACTGCACAAGCAATGCGGAACTTGGCCTAGTCTAGGTCTGATCTTGCCCGAACCCACAACACGGCCTCGGCCCTCGCACGCACACATAAAATCAAAATTGCTGGCTTGCTGCACGCCTGCAATGCCCCTCCAACTCAACTTCTTCCTAGGCTTCCTAGGGCTCAGCAGTGCTGTGGCAGCTGTCATCAGCTGCTTCTGAAACGGTCCTCTGGGAATCAGCGAAAGCATTCCGCTCATGCTCCAAGAGCAAGGAAGTTTGCTGGAAGATCTCGTCGCACGCGGACTTCAAGGCAGTGTCCATGCACTGCCAATCAAAGTCGGCCAGCACTGGCAACAATTGGGCTCCAAACCCCTGTGCCAAAGCTTCATCTGGTGCACAGTCTGCATGCAAGCGGAAAACATTGTGCGGCGGCCTTCCTGGGAACCTATCCAACCATGACACCATGGGGGTGCCGACGTCAATGTTGCCTAAGCAATGATCACACACAGTTGGCACCTCAGCCATGGTGAGGATATTCACATCTGTCGGTGGGTCTTCGGGCTCAGGAAGCTTCTCCCACGAGCAGGCACTCTTGGGACTATCCAGCTCCGAGTCCTCATCTGTGTCAGGGACGGCTTCGTGATCTGCAAACACTTTCCTTGGCTCAAAAACCCAACACCGAAGCACAAATTCATCTTCAGAGCTCCATACTGCCGCCCCCCAATAAGCAAAACCTGAAAAGATATCCCCCCAGCAAAACCTCAAAAGATATCCCGAGAAGCAAAACCTGAAAAAGACACCCCGGTGAGCAAAACCTGTAAGCCCCGGCTGATAAGCGAAACCTGAAAAGACACCCCCCAGTAAGCAAAGCCTGAAAAGATACACCTCAATAAGCAAAACCTGAAAAGATATCGATATCCCCTGAAAAGCAAGACCTGAAAAGATACCCCCCAATAAGCAAAACCTGAAACGATATCGAGCTGCAGCAATTTCATTTGCGAGACCACCGGGGGCTGTGGGTTGGCAGCCAACGGCACTGCTGGGCGTCCGTCGTGGCCCGGAAGTACACAACTCACGTAGGAAAACAAGATTGCGGCCGCGACGGGCACGCTCCAAGATTCACCTGTGCTGTGTTAGTATATAAGTAAGTAAGTAGTATATAATCAGTGTATAATAACTAGCCCGAGCCCAGTACGCGGCACATTCTGTCACATATCACATATACTAGAACGGAAACTCTCACACACACACACATACTCATACACAGTCATACAGAGTCAGACCATAGTCAAAGTACAGCCCCTGTTTCTGAAACCCCCACACCCTCCAGACCCCGAACCCCCCAGATTCGAAATCAGCATCCCTCATTCTAAGTCCCCAAATGGCGCTTGCCTGCCAACCGGTTCATATCCTGGTAGGACAGTCCATCCAGCTCCAGGCAAGCAATGTCGAACCCTTGCACGCCCAACAGATCCTGCAAGGCAGCAGTGGTTCACGTCGCACACGTCTCGTGACTTGTACTATATAATGGAGGGGCATCGCAACCACTGTCTTAAGAAATGTCAGTCACACGCCTGAAATATGATATATAGTCTGATATAGTGTCACTGTCATCGCCAATAATGCTGCAACGTACAAAGGTAGACATAAAACTATCATAAAACCATTTTCCGAAGACACACAACAAACAAACGCACAATTGAAGCCTGCCCGGTCAGCAACTTCCGTGTGGCGAAGTCAAAGAGCTTCACTGAAGTCGTGACAGCCGTCACGAAGCCATCGACACCGATGTGGTGTCTGCCCGCCGATCCTACAGACTGAAAGACGAAGCAACCCTAACTGACCCTAACTTCTGAACAAACCCAACGTGCAACTGCTAGCCACCACTGGCCATCTATATTTGCCCACACGCACACAGCACACACGCGCAGCCACGTGCATATCATGCATCATCTGAATCATCTGCATATAATATATATATACACACACACACACGCAACCTGACAACCAGCCAGCAACTGGCGCCACATCAAGAGTGCAAGCAGGGTGCTGGCCAAGTCCACGTTGCAAAGCCGATCGGCAGGATCAATCCCACGTGCCTTGGAAGAGAGCTTATATACAACTTCTTATATAGCAACTTCTGCAGATCCTAAATTCTACAGCCCAGCCGCAACGCAATGACACATTACCCAACCATCGCCAATAAACACGGCCGTCACTGCCGAACATTTCAATTGGCTGAATGACTGAATGACTCAGAATGACTCACTAATTCGGAATTCGGCTTTGGACTGCTGATACCTCATATAGTCTTGCAACTGTGACTCTGGTGACTCTGGTGACTAGAGTAGTTGTGGCCTGCAATCGAAACCATGCCCAACCCACACGTACCATACCGTACCTTCGTTCCTCGAGCCTTGGGCCTTGGCCTTAAAGACGAACTCAACGCCTGAGTCTACTTTGTCACGACGGACTGAAACCTATGGGCCTATGGGCCTATGGGCCTATGGGGCCTGACCTGACTCTGACTGTAACAGACTGTAGTAACGTATATTAGTATATTATATATTGTCAATATTATATTGTATATTACTATTATATATATAATTATAATTTATATATTATATATTATATTATCAAACAATATATAAGTATGAGTCAGTTTATATATAGTCCAGAACGGTTCCG